ACAATTTATATCATCATAGAACCTAGTTTATATAAAAATTAATTTAATAAATACTACAGATTTATCATTTTTAAAATTTAATTAATAATTAACATTTTATTACCTAGTGTTACAACCATTATACGTGTATACATGTATTTGTTCCGATGGGTGAGCATATGTCCGACAGAAAACACGTGTTCATACGATGTCTTGTAGTCATTGACCGGACGTATGATAAATGCCATGCAATCGTCTTCTATTATTACCTGGTTCAATGTCGAGTAACAATTTATATCATCATAGAACCTAGTTTATATAAAAATTAATTTAATAAATACTACAGATTTATCATTTTTAAAATTTAATTAATAATTAACATTTTATTACCTAGTGTTACAACCATTATACGTGAAATAGTCCGATTTGGTGATGTGCATGTACCTTTTATGTGTCTCTTCACTCCATATTAGTTCCCAGTGACCAGTATCATTTATCAGATCATCAGTAGCAATTTGTTTAATAATTATTAAGTAAATTAAATAATTCTTCATTAGTTTAAACATAATTTATTAGTTTATTAGTTAGTTTATTGTAGCAGGAAATTAATGTTTTTAAAAATATTTTGCATTTGACTGACATTTAAATAATAAAAGTTTAGAGATTTATTACATATACATAACTTAATTTTTAGCAAGGATATGCATAATATTTTTTATGAATTATCTAGAAAATACTTAAATCAATAATTTACAACAAAAATTTTAGCTTTACTTTAATGTACATGTAACGATTGTAATAATTACTACTGTATTCAATTAATTATTTTGTTGTTAAATTTTATAATTAACTCGCCTAGTACATAATAATTAATTTAATCATTATAATATGATTGATACATTCACAGACAGGCGTTAGTGGTTTTAAATAAAAATTGATTCATGTGTTTATTTCCATAAGTTTATATGAAAGTATAACTAATACTACTAATAAGTTGACCAAGCTCTAACACCTGTCTGTGAATGAATTACTCATATAATATATAAATAAAGGTTTACAAATTTATAGGATTTTGTGAAAATAAGGATATCTTATTCATTATAACGGATGAAACCTGACAAATATAGGCTTATTTTTTGCTTATTGCAAGCTTTTTTTGCTTGAGACTAAATATCATAATTTTTAGTGTATAAAGTCTATGAGTTTAAATTAAAAAGATATTAATATTTAGTTGTAAGCAAAAAAAGCTTGCAAGATGCGAAAGAAGTCAGGCTTCATCCGTTATATTGAATCAGATATGAATCAAATTTTTATATTATTTAATTGTACTGTACAGTAGATCAATTTTAAAATTTACATTTTCTATAACTATAATATTAACCTTATAATGATTTCTTATTTTTAGTTTTTACTCAGCTTTACATTAGATTAAAATCTTTATTTGAAATTCATTATTATATTGTTGTTTTTATTTAAAACATACTTTATTTGTATACTAATAATTGTTAGTAATTAAAGGCAAACAAAAATTATAATTTTTACTGTTTAAAAACAAACTTTACAATATTTATATATAATATTAAACATGGTTATTTATAGCAAGAGCATCATATTATTTGATTAAACCTTATTACAATTATTAATTAACATTTATCTAATCATGATTATCATTAACCTTGTCATAATGATTATTAACTTTAATGTAATCATCAATAATCTCATCGTATTTATCATTTTTATGTCAAGTATTACCCCTTGGCTTGTCACTTGAATGTCAAGTTAAATACTTGGGATCTGGTCACTCTGATCATCAATAATCTCATCGTATTTATTGTCATTCATTTGGATGTCGTCGTAACCAAACTCTAAAGCATTTTCTTTGTTAATCCGTTTTAATCTTTTATGTCTAAAACACACGTAAATTACTATTACAGCCAAAACTAATACAATACTTATTATTACGATAATTATGAGCTTCAATGGACCCGAAGGAAAGGTTTTGGCTTTTGAACTTTTCATTGGATTCATTTCAGACATCATAGCCTCACATATTTCTGTCGCAGTCTTAGGACTATCTCTCAATTTGCCGGTCATGTTCACCATGCTCACATCTGTCCAATAATAGACACGCCAATAATCAAGGATAAATGCCGGACACTTTGGGTCCTTAAAATCATA